AGCTACGACTAATTATTTTTCTTTAAACTAGAACACAATGACATCCCTTCCCCTGTTCAAAGTCCTCAAGAAAAGTTTAGTAAACATGGCATCTCCGTTTGTCTCCCTCTCAAGAACTAGAGGCAAAAAGGTAACCTTTGTCATCTTGCGACTCAGCATCTTCTTTTGGTACCATCCATCCCCTTCATCTCAAACCCCACTCGTATATTATATCAGGAACTTGAAAACTATAGCTACGACTAATTATTTTTCTTTAAACTAGAACACAATGACATCCCTTCCCCTGTTCAAAGTCCTCAAGAAAAGTTTAGTAAACATGGCATCTCCGTTTGTCTCCCTCTCAAGAACTAGAGGCAAAAAGGTAACCTTTGTCATCTTGCGACTCAGCATCTTCTTTTGGTACCATCCATCCCCTTCATCTCAAACCCCACTCGTATATTATATCAGGAACTTGAAAACTATAATGTATTTATTAAGCAAAATATTAAGAATTCACAGGCACCTATGGAGTGCCGATTTAGGGTGGTATGGTATGGTTCTGATCTAACTATATTTTGATTGTGCGAGATGGTCTTATTTTGATGCCAAATAAGTTATATTAGATCAGAGATGTTAGTTTTGGATAGTTAAGGAATTATTCACCAGGGACCAAGTCCCCTTGAACTTGCCTATAAGGCGAAAAAGGCGATGATTAACGCGGTTGAGCTTTGGAGGAGCTATTGACTCCATCAGCAATGATGGGCAGACTCTTCGTATGAAAACTCATGGCATCCTATGGCTAATAAACATTTCTCTATCACCAAGAAGAATAATATAATAGCCAACCAGGCTCTGAGCACCCCCTAGTACGTAGTTAGGAACAACTTGGTAATGGAGAATTGTTTATTAGCCATCTTTTCCCTTTTATTCTATGTGAATACAGACTCATATAACCAGCTGATGACTCTCTAATGATAGCAATACAATGGTTTAATACGTGTGAGAAAGACCTGTGATTAAGAAACTTGATAATGGTTTATGAGATCAATTGTGTGGCTTTGGAACTATGTAAACAATGATTACAAAATGAACAAGTTGC